ATCCACTGTTTGTCAGCCATGTGTTGAACGGAATAGAGAATCCACTGGCGAAAGCATGCCATCCTTGCCAGCGATTGTGGAGTTTGTTTGTTCTGATTTCTGCTGATCAAATCGAGTCTCAATTGACTGTGTGTAAGACGAAACAAAGTTTCTCTGCCCACTTCTATGACCTCCATATCAGTAGCTTCTTGTTAATTACGAGAAATTTTTTCTCCATGTTCCTTATCCACTTTGGGATATATAGAATATGCTTTGACAAACATGGGCTTCAGAACAAGCGAGTGTTTTTTTTTACTTACTTCATCATCAAATCGTGGCTTGTGAAATGGATAAAAGCAAGAGTGAGATGGAAGCAAATCAGGTAACGATTTCTGCATCGAAAGCTACAGCACAGTGGTGTCCTCATCGCTTGAATTTAGAGTTGTACTCATTTACATCTTAAGCACACCGGTCAATACAGGTGAAATCTTAGATGCATATAAAAGCAGCATGCTAGGCTGATTGTACGTGAAATGTTGATTGCGTTCATGACGGGAACCACACACACACACAACTAAAAACTATATTTGACAAGCATCCTGTTCTCATGTGGCGAAGATATTCGAAATCAGATTGTACGGAAACGTATTGGTGTTGTTTCTACAGGTATTCGAAGAGAACTTCCGATGTCATAAACCTCGCAGACCTGCTTGGTAGTGCAGTTATTTGGAATGAGGACAGACTGTGTATGAACTTTTAAGTATGTATGTTGGCCACATGAACTCTATGACCACGTATCACAAGACGCTTGCTCCACAGAGTACCGTCAACAACTCACAAAGTCAGCAAATTATAAGTAGTCGCATATTTTCAGGTGCATGATGATGTGGTATTTTGAGAAGTCGGGCTAACAACCTCGGATAGTCAATCAACCTAGGTTTATGTCGACCTGAAAGCGAACTCTTTGGTAAAGTTCAAAAGTACACAAAATCGATTGTCCTCTGAACTCTTGACAATCTAGTCCATACCAGAATTCCGTCTTCCGGTCACATTTCAAATTTTCTAATCTTTCTGTCTTGGCCACCCATCATGTATCCTTTGTCAGTTTTCAAATTTCAACATTCCTTTTGAACAGTGCAGAAGCACGGAATCTTCACTGTGAACTTGTTACTGAATGGTTTCAAATGTACATATTTAATGTTTCGTCACATCTGTGCACCTTTTTGGACAATACCGAACAAAATGTATGACCTTTCTATAATTTCTACCCTATTGTTGGTACCACATTGGTGGACGAATCTCGTTCTAGAGCCGTTTCATCCTGAAGGTGGAAACTGCGTTTGCATTCCAAAAGGCTTTTCGCGGGTAGCGGCCTTCGTCAGTCATTAAAAAACCAGATATGATGGACCGCAACCTGAATGTGAAAATAATAATACAGCCTTTACAAGCTTGTTGAATGCGAGTTCATCACACCACTCGTTCATAGCTTTCGTCAATTACCCTTGATGTCACGGAAATCTTCCCGGAGATTCTCTAGATGCGCACTGCCGATAAAAAAGCTGTACATCAATTTTCCACTTTTTGGGCTGAGGCTGACTCCATTACTGGGCCAAATCTCCGGGGAACTTTTCAGATATTCAAATGGGATCGACAGAACTGAAAAAAGTTGTCGAATATACACTCATTTGCAAACTAATTTGGTTTTTCGAGAGACTTACCTGGAACCCAGCTGAATCTCACGTTTGTGATGTTCTCAGCCAACTGAATGTGCTGGACCAGGCCGCCCCATGTTTTACTCGCTATGATATTCGAGATACCGCGATACGTGTATATTTGTAATCCACTACTCATAAGGTAGCCGGGAATTCGTCGACAGCCCACGATCGGTATCGCCCTTCTTGGGGCTCATCAGATAGGGGCGTAGTCCCCGAGTTTCTGTCAAACTTATGTTCTACTTGAAAACAAATTGCACGCAGTTAGCGAAATCCATTCATTTACAATCTAATTTCGTTTTTCGAGAGACTCACCTGGAACACGGCTGGATTTCTCGGTTTTGAAAATCAGGTTGACGGAAACTCGGGGACTGCGCCTACCTGATTAGCTCCAAGAAGTGCGATACCGATCGTGGGCGGTCGACGAATTTTCAGCAACCTTATGATTAGTGCGTTGAAAAAAAATTGTATTTGGGAAAAGGTGGATCAACAGCAGAGTTTACCACACTAACATGGCAAACTGCGCACAGTTCCGACAGGAGCACGTGCTTGTGAGCAACTACTGATAATATGACGTAAGTAATGTTGGTCATTAGCGTCTCTGGATGGAAGTCTTCAAGCGGTTCTAGAATTTTCCGCAGTACTCGTGCTAGTCCAGGTTTAAAGGGGCACACACTTAGCGAAGTTTATCGGTCGTTGAGTATTAAGAACTCGTCAGAAAAAATTAAATCTATATCTGAATAATTGAAAACCTCACCAGGTTTAGGCACAAAATTTTCAACTCTCGCGCCCTCCCAAGACAGACACTCTGGAATAAAGTTGGTGCTTCAAACTAGTCAGGACTTACTGCAACCTATCCCATACGATAGTAAGCCAGATTCGAGGGGCCGGAGTTCTTTTTTCTTCTCGTGAGTGCTTAGTTTCATATTCAGGCGGTACGTACGTTCCTGTATCACCCATGGTTTTCAGCCAATACAAGTCGTTAGCCTGGTTACGAAATCACATACGGTGCATCAGGTAAACTGTGGCCACAAGTGGATTTGTTGCCACCACACTGGTCTTTGTGAAATACAAGTAACGTTTGCAACTCCTGTGATGCTACGGCCTTCGGTCTAGGGCCGGAAATGACGTCAAGAATCCCTCCATCTCTGTCATTACTTAGTCTACTATGTTTAATTTGTAATTTGCTTTGATAAAGGGTTTTAACAAAGTCCTTTTTTGCCCGAACAGACGGAATTTCTCAGCCTTTTTTTCAGGATACTGTGGTTCTTCGTTCAATTGCTGATCAGTCTGAACCATGGTCCTTAACTGGTCGTGATTTCTTAATCGGCGACGCAATGCGTTTTCATTTTTTGCTTTTTACACCTTGTTGGTTTATTCGATGAAAACAATTGTTCTCGATTCTAAGGACATCGCCATATTTGGTGAAAATTTCTCACATTATGGGGACTGTGAAGTGCAGATTTTTGAAAATATATTTATCAGAAAGGTCAGATTCCTGAATGCAACCTCAGAAAATACAGAACCTACTGCTCCACCAAAAACTCAACAGGAAAGCCGGCAAGCATTCAGGACAGTCCATCATTCAATCAATGCAACAAAGGCTGATGAGTGTTCTTGCACGCCACAGAAGCATGACCAGATGTGATCTGCGTTCAGGCATTTCATAGAGGCACGATTGATGTTGATGGGTGTTCACTAACACCGGTCAGACAGCCTGGATCAATGTCAGAAAGCCCCTTTGAATAGGGCCATGGGGCCGTTGTAACTTTTGCTCTCGTACTCGCTTGTTCGGACTATATCTGTTGTGTTCCCTTCTGCGAGTCCTTTTTCGGCACTGGGCACTAGAGAGAGAGAGTCAGCAGCAGATACCACAGATTGGCGAATCAGCAGATGTAACAATATTTTAGTGTAATCATTGTTGATCAGACGACCTTTGTCTTTAGGATTTGCAGATCACTCTGGAACGCTGATCGCATTCAACCGTATTACGATAGATACGCAAACGCTTATTGAAAACTAGAATACGGTAACCTTAAAATTACACACTATGCGGTTCGCTGGGATGAAGACGCAGCAAGGTAATCTGAATCGGTGGAGAATTCATCCACCAGGATTGACACACACTTGCCGCATACATTCACCTGTCATCACTGGGCTGTCGCAACACACAGTTACTCAGAAAGACCACACTTTGCACTACTTATCTTAAGCGCAGTATGTTTAGCCCAGATGTCTGAAATGGGTGGAAGATCGCATTATCCACATCAGAGAGTTTTCCAAAGCTCTTGAAACAAATTTCGAGTCGATGCACCGTCCATCTGCCCTTTAAAAGTTTATGGATAGGAGAGGTTGTTCGTATGATGACAGGAGACGTTCCAACGGCCAGTTTGGAAACAGAATGGTTCGATAGACTCTTCAGTTAATTGGTTTGACAACAGTGACAGCATACACCAAACTCGGCATAGTTAGGACACTTTCGATGTTCGTCAAGGTTGGTGGTGCCACTGAAGGAGTGAATGAAATCTTTGTTGGTTACTTATACCCCATTGTTAAAAATATGTGCAAATACGCATTTTTAAAGCCTGATCCCTGCAGTACTGAAGAACTTTTCCACAGCCGTTGAATCTTTCCTGGAGGAAATCGTTTATCAACCTCACATGACTCAATAAACTTACACCAGCGCTACGAAGCTTGAGCTTTTACCAGGTGCACTCATTGGCACAATAGATTGATTCTACTGAGAGGTCTAACTGAATCCATCACGATATTCTTCAACTGAATATGCCGCACAAAGACTGCCTCATATTTCAGTTGATACGATCGTTCAGACATCGCACCATGTTTTCTTCGGCAAAGTTTAACTGGTATGTATTCGAACTACTCGTAAAACCCGACTGGTGGACAAATAGATGTAGCTGGCAACTTTCTTGCGATTTGAGTTCTAGTAGAACATAAGATTGACGGAAACTCAGGGGCTGCCTCCAACCAATAAGCTTCAAGGAAAGCAAGACATGTCGTGGGCTTTCAAGGCTTTTAAGCATCTTTCAGTCCAGATCAATTTGAATTGATTTATATCTCTCAGCAAGAAAAAGTGAAACTGATTTCGCATCCACAGTGTGTGATTCAGCACAGTCAGCAGAACGGAGCATCTATGGACAGAAGCTTTGGCGATATGAGTAATGTTCCTTCAAGAACGGCATGTTCTGCTGATCGTGAATGTTTTAGTGCATAAAGTCACTCTGAAATCCCACTCGCGTTTTTTTGGTGTTTTTCTCATCAAATGTGTATTTTACATTCGCACTTTAGTCGGACAACCCTATGGCTATGATCCGATGGAAGATGCAACATCAGCGACGCTAGTCCGACCCCCAGTGTTTGACGACGCGGAACTGGTGGCCGCTACTGGACCACGTGAGTTTTCTAGGCCCTTTAACTTACCTTGTATCTACACTATCTGGGGTCCAAAGTAAACTTGGAGAAATTTGTCAATTTTAGTTTTATTCTCCACAAATATTTTGAATTTCAAGGAAGGATTCCTTAACATTTCAGTTTTACGTGAAATATTTTTAGATGAACGACAATTTAGGGACCATATAGCTAGGTGATTGGTTATTTTCAGAATAGAACCTACCATTGGGCACCTTCCTATATTGACTCAAACGGACTGGCTTATTCAAAAGAATGTACAGTCGAGATGGGATTCCCTTATTGACGAATATCAGTAATTCGACTGCCACCTTATTCATGTGCAGTGATGTTCAGCTAATGTTTTTCCTTGACATTTCCGAATTCGAACCGAAATAGGGGAACATACCGACCTTAACAAGCTTCTGAAGTTCGTTTCACGAGTAGGCCATAGTAGAGATCAGCATCAAAAAGATTAAAACTCCAAGTTTTCACGGGAGACCCAACCAAACCGCTAGTCTGTGGTGTTTATGAGGAATCGCACTAGGATACTGGCGGATCGCACCAACTGAGAGATACGACAGCCTGGTGTAGCCCATTCAGCTGCAGAGGACCATAAACGAGAGGTTTATCTGGAATTCAGGTAAGTCACCCGTGAAAACCAAACTGGTACACAAGTGGACGTATTTCGCACAATCTGGGTTCAAAAAGATCACGAAGGTGAGGGAAACTCGGGGACTGCGCCTACCTAACGGGTCAGCAATCTTGCGTCTATACAAGATTACGACTTATCAAGATGGAAGCCGTTAGCCAACTGGAAAGTGCCCGTAGTGGGTTCGGACCCTGGTCATCCAGGGATAAGTCCAATATCATGTTCGCCGTGTCACGTGGGCATTACCCAAAGACAGTGATATTAAATTTTGGCAAAATAGACAGCTTGTCGTCATCAGTGTGAGTCCTGGTCATGATGCGTTCTGGTATGGTAACGCAGTGACCTGCAGCCTGCACAGTAAGTCGAACGTGGGAGACTGCATGCGCTTCAGACCGGTGAGGTCGAAGTGTGTGTGTGTGTGTGTGTGTAGACAATGATCTGGCAAGGCAATAACCACACGCAGGCGGACGACAACCAGGCAGCCAATCAAATGCAAGACAGTGACGTCGGACGTTGAGTAATCTCACCCACACGAGGAGAAATGCGGACTGATTGGGAAAAAGTATAAGACGACCTACCAGATCTACAGTGAGGTGGTGGAGCATTTTTCAGAGACCAAAGGATAACAACTGATGATTGCTTTTATTGAGCAACACTCTAGTTGATGATGTAGCTAATATAGACAAACAAGTGAAATTAAACTTGGTCTCTACATAAAGGCCAAATAAATCCTGACGCTCTTAACCTTAATCAACGAAACCATGGTAATTTCAGGATTACTTACAAATCTATCAGCTTAACTCCAGAGAGTATCAATGGTTGACGAAACCTCTATTGTTCGCTGCAATACATGGGCACCCGGAGCTGTCAAGTTCAACTGAGTATCGTGTGTCAAACAAGAACGTCACTCTTCTGCCGATTTGGATCGAAGATCCATGAGATGGAAACGACATGTGCTTTTGCGAATGTCCTCCTGTTTCAGACGAGAGTAGCAAACAAATTCCGTTTTCCGTGATTGGCATTCTGGCTAGAGGGGACCGGCGAGTGGAAAAGACAACTCAATTAAGCCATGAGTATGCGAGATATGTTTATTGACCAACTCGATTTCTGGGGTGACAGATATCTGTTGGATGCAACGTACCGAGTACCCGGAGTCTGGTCATCTTTCTGATAACTCTCAGTCTGAGCCGCATACTTCGATTGAATTTTCATCCTATCAATGAAGCCAATCTTTGGTGAAAGGTCGACAAGCACTGTACAATCGTCTCTTTTTTATTGCGAATCAGCCTCTGAACGGCATTGTGATTAGATCTAAGTTGAGAGCTGCCACCTTACCATCAGAAGAGGAATAATTTCACAAAATGAGTGGAACCTCTGTCTGAAAAGTCGTCACTCGAAGAGTCAATCAATACGTGAACACGTGATGTGTTTGACGGATGAGTGGCGCTATATTCCGTCTAGGTGAGACTTACTCACGCCGTTGTTTGGAAGCTTGTGACCGAACGGATGTCGCGGGCTCGAAATTCATCCATCCTGTCGAACGGGCACCACCGTTCAACTGACATGAACGTTATTCCGATCACACGAACGGATATATGGAGAAGCCGGAAACAAAATTCAAATGGAACTAAGCAGACAGACAGGGAACCACAAATTTACTACAGTGTAATTGCGTGAAAAGCCCTACCCTTCTGACAGTAAGGCCAGCAATGGTCTTTTAGGGCAGAATTTCAATGTGGACACGATTTCACTACATAGACTGTGATTCATTAAGAAGACTATATTGGGACTGGATGGATGTGAACAGTTTCGGCACTGTGCTGATGGGCATTGCTAAGTCTTTGTTCTATCTACGGCACGGAATAAACCAAAAAGACGTTGGTTATGTCCCGCCTTGTGATGAATGATCCGTAATTCGAAGCTCTTATTGTGATTTCCAAATGCCTTTAATGGCATTGTGATTTTTCGGCTGGCTGCTCTGATTTCACGAAGGATTGAGAGATAACTGAGAGTGCAAAAACAACCAGTTTATCGATCTATTTTGTGACTCACCAATGAGACTCGACGAGGATTGCAGTTTAGCTGTCCGTGATATAAGCTTTATTGTTTCCTGTACGAAATGTCCAGGATGACTGTTCTACGAAAACATTTCTCAACAAATAGTCAACAGAGTAGAGAAAGGCTACTCACCAAAGACCACTGTGGACAGACTTAAGGAGCATATCCCTCTCTACAAATACTGCGGTGTGAAATTCATGTACCTTCGCATTGTAATCAGTAAAAAATTATATATTCTCCGTGTCGCTTCGAGACAATACCATCCCAGGATTAGCACATAACGCTACTCTAGTTATTTCTCTTTATAGAGGGACATTGATCCGATCTTTTTCTCACAAAACGAATTCCTCTCTTGTTTGAACGCGTGGTCATAAATGAGTTGCCGAGGATTACAAGTGGATCAAACATCAGCTTTGACCCCAAGTTCAGGTTCTGGGGTGCTTACTATCGGCAGTTCCTATCACAAAGTAATTCTGTATTTTAAGCCGTTAGCGATTTTTGTGCAAGATAGGTGGGAAATTGACAGGTGAGCTGGATTGCTCTTTCAAATAGTTTTATATCGCTGTGGAAAAATTTGGACGTCAATATTGGTCCGTATGGGGAGGGGCCACCTCCCTACTAACACCATCAACAGTTGGGAGGCTTTCGCTCGGGAGGATGACTGTGTATTCATAAAAGAGACGACGCCGAGTTGTATGCCTATTTATTGTGTGCAGTGTGAAGAGAGGGGTGTCCCTTCGTGTTTGATGCTTGTACGATCAAGAATACAACTTGACCTGATGTGGTTGAATTTCGTAAGCCTGGCGTGTGACGCAAGTGGTAGCCGCGTAAACAAAAATGGATGGGAAGTTGCAGTGTACATGTTGTCGGCTGAGGTCGCAAGTGGGACAGGAATTGTCATGTGGTTTGAGTGTTTGTGACGCGCGAGATCTCATGAGTGACCTCTACGCCATTCAGCTGTCGGCTCGATAACTCAGTCATCCTTCAGGCCTTTAGTGTTTGACTCACCTATCCGATTTTGTGTCGACCTGCACTACGGTTCATATTCAAGGTTTATCTAGTATTGTGTTAGTACTTTTTCCATTAGTATGTTTTTGTTGATGCTTCATGGCACTACAGAGTATTTGCCTGCTTGCCCTCGTTGGGGACTTCAGAGCTGGGCATGGTAGTCAAAACACCCAGTCCAGTGCGAAGTTTGCTTTTCACGTAAGGGTTTCCCGACCAATACAGAAACCTTTTGATTTTTGCCAAGCAACGATTACTGCATTCCGCTGTAAACTATCATTGTATCCCACGGTATCCATATCTCACTTCCTTTCTTCACCCTAGAGGGAATTCGAAAGCGACCGTACTATGGATGATCAAGGAGTACGCATTTGTTGTGCGAATATACTACTCATTATTGTTTTGGTGCAAAAACATTGTCCTTCTGAGTTCAAATTCTTGACCTTAATACCATGGGAATGACTTCTTTCAGGTCTTATCGAATCGTTGATCGATCCGGTCATTCGGTATTGCTGAAACCGAGGTGTAGACTGATTCCCGTTAATTAGGGAGGTAACACTATCCCGGGCTTCGAAACCCAGATTAACGGTTCCTTGAAGGATGCATTCTTTGCTGATATCAACGACAAAATCGAACACAACGTTGAAAAGACTAGAGTTTTGGTGGATCCCACTAGTCGTGGAAACAACTCGTTGCAAGCCCTCACGTCATCAGAGAGTAGGAGTCAACAGCGCGAAGCATAAGTACGGAATTCAAGGGACTTCCTCTTGGGACCAATGTATTTAAATGCTTATCTAGCTGCAGAATAGGAGCCTTATTTGAGATCGAATATTGTTGTTCGACGGTGCATGACACTCCTCAATGTCGTTATTCGAAAAACAGGGGCGAGATGGCCGAAGTGGTTAGAGCGCGAATTTACTGACCGGAAGGTCCGTGGTTCGAACCCTACCTCCGCCTCTCGACTTCCCCTGTCTCGGCTTGGGCAACCTGGCAGTATCCCCGCCCTCGTACAACTTTCGGGTGGCAGTAATTCGAATTCACGGGCCTATGCCCTGGCTGCTAAGGTTAGATGTCACATTGCTGTCGAATCCAATAGCTGTGTTATAATTAAGCCTGGAACGGTCATATCAGGTAACATTTTCAACTGAATAGGCCTCAAACTAGAGTAGAACATGAAACTGTCCATCTGACATTCCTCAAGACAGGAAGGCATTTAGTACCTCAGAACTCAACTCACAGGTGATCGGGCCGAATTACAGACATCGGTACTTGGGTTAACTCAGCTGTTCG